TTCTTCGAAACAAATCATTTAGTATGTTATGGCAGATTGACAAAAGGCGTGTTGGCTTTGTTTGGGGGTAGGTGAGAATAAATAAAAAGTAGAATAAAGCTTTTTCAGTTTTATTAGGCACTGTAAGATATTTTAATGCTAATTTAGTCATTATTGGCAGTACTGTGCTCCCTCTGCCCTATAGCATCCCATAGCTCTCCCCGCTCTTTGTGTGAATAGAACGGAGCGGCTATACTTCAGTATCTACTACACCAATCCTGTAGATCATTAAAGTCGAATCAAAGTTTCTTTAGCCTAGACAGTAGCTTAAACAAGTGAGTAGGGAATGAGTAAGAAGTGGGAAGGAAAACAAGTACTAGCAGCGAATAGGATCCACTTGGGCAGGTGGGACTCTCAGCAGCTGGTATAAACACTCTTCTGACTCTGCTAACAGTCAGGCATTTACAATGCAGGGTACTGATAAGCATTACAGGTGATTACAATGCTTCGGCATTCCTTTGCACAGAATTTTTTTCTCTCCCCTCAATTACCGCATTGCACATTACAAAATCGAGGGGGTTGTGTTAATCGCAGCGATGGCACCGCACCCCAGTCTAACACGGTCGAGCTATCAGACAGGTCCCCAACAAATAAGAATGTTTGCATGGCAGGGTGTGGGGGATCTCTAAGGTACAAGAGAAGCAAGAAAGCAGCCAATGCTTGTGCCATCTCAGTTACAAATCTATCGCCCTCTTTCGAACTGCTATGCGAAAAATAATCCAAAGCTGCGATATTCGAAGCGACTCGCAGCTGTGTACAATCATTCACCCATAGAATATTGTCAGGGAATGAACAAACTCAAACACTTCTCGTATGCCTATCGACAGTACCCAACTTTGTGAACAATATTTGTACACTACTGATACCTGTGATGTCTATGTGAAAGCTCGTGATAGTGTCATGCTCCGCAATGGTAGCAATGAATGGGGAGCCTCACTAATCGCATCAATGGACCAGTTTGACACGTCAGTCAAATATGAACCAGCAAAGCCTCTGTAAGTTGGACTGGTTGAGCTGACGAATAACATGGAACTGAGAGCTGGAAACTGTCCACATGTTCACACTGGAAAGAGCTGTCGAGCTGGAGCTTAAACAAGCGCTAGCACTTGGTTCCTCCTTCATCATGCTCAGCAGACCACTTGCGTGGCTCACATAGACCTCATCCTGGACACCCGCGCAGAATGCAACATTGTATACTGAGTTTGGCTGTTGTTTCGACTGTCTGTAAAAGCACATGATGTGAAAAATGAATTATTAGAGGTTTGTTAAGACACCTGCAAATACAACAAATGAAGAAGGAACTGTTGTATTCCTGACGACAAATTATTACAATGCCTATGCATCACATAGTGTCTCACAAAAAATAAAATACACTAAAATTGCAAATTGAATGACAAAAGCATCACGTTTAATTATTATGAATGTTTGACAAGAAGGTGGAAGCCTTTCCTCAAATCAGGTGATAAGGAGCGTGGATGGTGACAAAGGTTCTGCATACTTTTATCCACTCTCACTTGGGTAATAGCACCATCGACGAAAGAGTCTCTGAATGACTAGTCTTGCCGTCGCTAAAAGTCACTGGTTGTTTTATTAAAAGACAAATAAGGTGGTCGTATCCACTAAAACAGGCCTTGGGGTGCTGCATACGCAGTGCAACACTCTTCGAACCTCGAGAATGGAAAGTCGCGTAGGCTTGGAAAGCAATCCTTCCTTTTTACAATGAGACCATATTGATAACAAAAATTGCTTCTTGTTTCTTAACTCCTACAACCTAGAGTCAGGCTTACATTTGTAACTTTGCTCCATTGCAAGAGATACTCCCTCAATGCCTGCTGCTAAGTTGACGAGTGTCAGGTGCAAACAAATAGGCGCAACTGATCCACTAATCGTCTACCGCCGATGTCACTACTCTTGCCCTTACTTCCCACCTTCCCTTAGCCAGTGCTAATGGAACTATATTACTACTGCACCACCAATAGGCATAAATTCTTCATTGCAATCGTCATCTCAGGTCTCATGTCTCTTTGAAGTTCGTGTTTTGGATGTCAAACACCGTCAAAATTGCTATTCTTTATTTAAGTTCTCCACATCACCTTAATTATCTGGCGTACTCTTTTATTTTTTTTTGCCTCCAACCTAGTAGAATTTAAAAAATCTTGCCATCTGGATGGCAGAAAGCTCTCTAATGTGAGCCTTAGTTTCACCTCAACAACGGCTCCTGCACATCAAGCAGCGCTTTAATTCGGTTTTCACCTGACCGCCATGCAAGCTCATCACTGAAAATGTCTGTTTGGTGGTCGAATAATTTGCATGTTCTTTGCTCATGCCTTGGCAAATCGTAAGTATATACTTCAAAATAGATGAAGTGCTATAACTAATTCAACATGACTGCAACAGCTGGCTAACGACTGTAGCGGAGCTAGAACATACGGCGCCAGAAATATTGCGGGCATTCTTGAAGAGAAATTCCATTCTGCATACGC